GCTGATTTGTCATGGCTCCAAAGATATTTTGCGTTTCTGACGAACGTTTTCAAAGCAGGAGGCATTCGTGCTTTTTCTAATTTCTCATTATTTTCTCATGATGAGGTCACGTATTTGACCTGCCTCCAGATCATAGATGTAAATCCTCAGAATCATGAATTGCTGACACATATAACCCCATACATTAGGTATACAGTGTACCAAATTTCGAAGTTATGGGAGAAAAGCTACAAGAATGGCGAGAGGGGAAAGTTTGATAGAGGTATACCGTATGTATAACTGAACTTGACATGGCGACCTGGCCTTAAGTGACCAGTGATAATTTTTACGCAAGTGATGTAGGTAGGTATACCTACCTAATAGGTTATACCAAATTTCGCGGCGCTGCGCGCCGATTTGTTACACGCGCACACACACACACATACGCACGCACAAAACTGGGAAGTGTGGCAAAAAATCACCCCTACCCATCGGGTGAAGACTAGAAACCCGACCCCCCACTCAAAAATCCGTGGCGACGCCCCTGGCCTTTACTACAATGTATTATGTTAGTTAGCCCTCGCCCGATGAGGGGGGTTGATGCACCCCCCTAAGGTTTTTCACAAATAACGTAAAAACGGCGGCGCTCAAATTTCCCATACCCTCTGGGGCAGCCTTTTGGCACTTGTCCTGAAAATTTCAGGTCTCTAGTCTTTTCAGGTCAGGTCACCAGGTCACAAACCCGGTACAAGGTCAGGGGGAAATTGGACTAACAGTTAAGCGGCAACCGAATGCCAGAGTTTTTCGTTGATAGCGTGAGTTCTATAGCACGTAGCACTACCAAATTTAAGACACGACTTGGAGCATCTGTTTGTCACTTGGCCTTGGAGTTTTAGGTTCCAGTGACCCGAGGTCAGGTCACAAGGTCACAAAAACTGGTGCATTGTCAAAATAGCAAGAATACCGAATAAGAATACCTACCTACCACGCAGTTTGCAGAGGGCTGTACATGTAACTCTGGAACGAATCCCTCGAGCATTGCTAACCATAAAACATACGACAAACGTTAACTTTGCAAACTATCATCTTATTTCCAATAACGGCACTGCTTATTTCGCCTCACCCCCGCCCCCCCCCCCGGTAACAGGTTATGAAATTGGTTGAACCCCAAAACAGTGGCTGGATCCACCCTTGGGCAGGGGAGTAGCGAAAACTTTGCCCACCCAGTGAAAAATCCTTAGAGGAGGCCCTGGCCTAAAAACGTAAAATTTAGGTGAGAACGAACTTATGGGACACCCTGTAGATGCGTCCATTAGACGTTACAGTAGGCAGGCCGTCATTAGACGTTAGAATAAATAGGTACAATACATGAAATATCATTAGGCACTTGAAATTTGGAATTTGAACGAATTAATATCGACATTAATTAATACCTACAAGGAAACATAAGCGATAGGTAAATTAAGTTTAATGTTCTTTAAGTTTCTCAGTGCTTGTGCGAGGATCATATTAAAGCATTTTGATTAATGATTAATGACCTTACCCTCGTAGTTTGAAAAAGTTAGATCAAAACACTTGTTTATTAATAATTTCGAGCACAGCTCTTCATCAGAATACAAAGCTAAAAATGTCACGATAAAAATCCAATCTTTGACTGCATAACTCATTGCAAAATATTTCCCGCCAAACATTTTTGCGCGCAAATTCTTGAGCAAATAGTACAATCAGGTTCAACCGTTTTCAAGATCTAACACCATGTTTGACCTAAAAATTAAATAAAGTGTTACACATCCAACCAACAAAAATATATCACTTTATAATACCTCGACCAATAATTTGAGGCTATTGCTTACATGCATTGTTAAAAGCTTATTTAAAAAAAAAAAACATTCGCAATCAACCTGCCTATCTCTACTGATATCAATATCACGATAGCCTAAGGTCAAATAGCCAACGCTAATATTCTTTTAACATTCATGTCACACCCCATGGTGAAACATCACAAAATCACAATGCGAACAAAAACACACACACAAACACATATTAGCTCATGAGTACGCGCATACATATTCATTATATATATCTTCATGAGTGTCACAAATGTGGCTCATCACATGATCGGCCATGAGGTCACGTTCGAATTGAGGACAGGCTTTCGATTCCTGATAAAGATCGACTCCGCAATCTTTCGATCTGGGTGATCTTTGGCCCTATACAGAATTCTAGCCTCGATGGGGGATGGAGTGAGGCCAATGCCAGGATGGCACTCTGTAAAGTGGTCACCCATAGGCGTGTCCTCTTTTCTGTTGGCGATATCCCGGTAATGCTCATTGAACCTCAACCGTATGGGTCTCTTGGTTTCCCCCACATACTCCGTCATGTCACCATTTTCCATACATGCCTTGCATTGTAACGAGTACACAACATTCTTTACAGTACACTGTCCTTCGAAACCACTCTTACAGATGTTGCAGCGGTTTCTGCCTGGACAGAGCGGCTGTGTAAAAGCTGAGCGAACTAAACTTTTTCTGAGTTTGTTTTCATTCCTCCACGCAAGCCTAACGTTAAGTCCCGATCTCTTCACCACATACTTTACTTTGTGTAGCAAGTTCTCATCAATGTACGGCAAAGTCAAAAATCCATCAGATCCCACTTTACTTTTGTTAACGTTCTTGTTTTTCTTAGCTCTGCTCAACCTCACCTCCCGGATCAGCCTTTTTAACAATTTGGGCGAGTACCCGTTCCCCAACAATAAAGAACGAATCTTTTCCACGCTGGCAGTAAGGAAGATGCCAGCGTGGAAAAGATTCGTTCTTTATTGTTGGGGAACGGGTACTCGCCCAAATTGTTAAAAAGGCTGATCCGGGAGGTGAGGTTGAGCAGAGCTAAGAAAAACAAGAACGTTAACAAAAGTAAAGTGGGATCTGATGGATTTTTGACTTTGCCGTACATTGATGAGAACTTGCTACACAAAGTAAAGTATGTGGTGAAGAGATCGGGACTTAACGTTAGGCTTGCGTGGAGGAATGAAAACAAACTCAGAAAAAGTTTAGTTCGCTCAGCTTTTACACAGCCGCTCTGTCCAGGCAGAAACCGCTGCAACATCTGTAAGAGTGGTTTCGAAGGACAGTGTACTGTAAAGAATGTTGTGTACTCGTTACAATGCAAGGCATGTATGGAAAATGGTGACATGACGGAGTATGTGGGGGAAACCAAGAGACCCATACGGTTGAGGTTCAATGAGCATTACCGGGATATCGCCAACAGAAAAGAGGACACGTCTATGGGTGACCACTTTACAGAGTGCCATCCTGGCATTGGCCTCACTCCATCCCCCATCGAGGCTAGAATTCTGTATAGGGCCAAAGATCACCCAGATCGAAAGATTGCGGAGTCGATCTTTATCAGGAATCGAAAGCCTGTCCTCAATTCGAACGTGACCTCATGGCCGATCATGTGATGAGCCACATTTGTGACACTCATGAAGATATATATAATGAATATGTATGCGCGTACTCATGAGCTAATATGTGTTTGTGTGTGTGTTTTTGTTCGCATTGTGATTTTGTGATGTTTCACCATGGGGTGTGACATGAATGTTAAAAGAATATTAGCGTTGGCTATTTGACCTTAGGCTATCGTGATATTGATATCAGTAGAGATAGGCAGGTTGATTGCGAATGTTTTTTTTTTTTTTAAATAAGCTTTTAACAATGCATGTAAGCAATAGCCTCAAATTATTGGTCGAGGTATTATAAAGTGATATATTTTTGTTGGTTGGATGTGTAACACTTTATTTAATTTTTAGGTCAAACATGGTGTTAGATCTTGAAAACGGTTGAACCTGATTGTACTATTTGCTCAAGAATTTGCGCGCAAAAATGTTTGGCGGGAAATATTTTGCAATGAGTTATGCAGTCAAAGATTGGATTTTTATCGTGACATTTTTAGCTTTGTATTCTGATGAAGAGCTGTGCTCGAAATTATTAATAAACAAGTGTTTTGATCTAACTTTTTCAAACTACGAGGGTAAGGTCATTAATCATTAATTAAATTAAGTTTATAGTAAATTACTCATATCATTGATTCTCCAGTCGTTATCTGACAAGCATTTTTGCAAGCTTAACAAGTTTTTCGGGAATATCTAAGCTTCTAGACGTCTGATCGTCACCGGAAAATACCAATCGATCCCAAATTTTCTCCCGAATCTTTTAACCCGGCGGCCGCTGGGCCTCCGCGCCACACGCCGGCCGCTGGGGGGGGCATATAGTTGCCCCCCTTTACTTCTGCGACGATATCGTCGCAACGCGAAGAGATAGAGAAGCGAAACTTTGCACACATCTTTCTGAATACCTAGCCAAGGTTGTGTCCAAATTTGGTGTCAATCCCATTTGAAATGACGTCAGAGTGACGTCATAAGTGAAATTATAGATTTGCGACTCTCATATTCCTCACGATACATCAGATATATGGGACCGTATATAAAGGGTCGATTATTGGTCAGAAACTAGGTGGAAGTGTAGATAGATGTTTTAGGATGACAGCAGGTGCTGTCTAGCTCATTTACAGTTGAGTTTCATGCTCAGCGTCATCAGAAACGGTCGATATCGGAAAACGACAAAACTTTATGACGTCACTGTGACGTCATCTTAGGTGCTACAACCACCAAACTTTCCTCAAACATTGCCTAGGTATTCATTTGAAGCTATGCCAAGTTTCACGTTCGTAGCTCATCAGGTTTCATAGATATTTCACAAAACGTAAAGGGGGGCAACTTTATGCCCCCCCCCCCCCAGCGGCTCGTGGGTTAATGGCCAAAGCGACGCGGAGCGAGCGCAAGATACCTTATAAATCCTTCCTATAAAAAGGTTCAGACTAAATTTATAAAAAATGGTTATTTACTTTGTAAATGTTCTTTTTTGCACATTTTGTTTGCTTCAAACCACATGCATACAGCTTCAAGTTCTTTATTCATATTTTTAACATTATTTGGATATTTGATACCACGGATTATTTCTTACCTGGTCGAAACTGCTTTACAAAAACCAGCACATTTCTGCTAGTGTTGTGGATCAGCACTGCCACAGAGTCATGGACCTTCATTAGGTCCCACCTTTTGGCCACACCATTCTGAAACACAGAGCTTCAATGTTATGGATGTCATTGCACGATACAATTACAAGGTGTCCCATAAGCTCGTTCTCACCAAGTTTCACTTTTAGCCGTTCTTTTGCTTAATGGGACATGTTCATGTCTAACATGGGGAATGGAGTTGAGATAGCAGTTTTGCTCGTTATATGCTAAAACCACGTTATCCGGAGCCATTCGTCTCAAAAACATAAACTGACAGCGCTAGGGAGCAATTTCTATGGTGCTTAACAGATCGCCAAGGTCTTAACCAGATGTGTATGACGTTGCCACGAAAAAGACTAGATTTCAAGCTAAGGTGAACCGATTCGCCTAATACATTGGCGTTTTTAATTGGTGTTCGACATTGTCTGCCAGCAGCATGTTGAGACGACGCGGGCAGATGCAGCGCGAGTCCTCGTAAAGCTCTTCAGAATGCTTGCTTCTAATTGGATAATCTTCTTTGACGTTTTAAGTTGGAGAACTCAATAACGCTTTCCTCATGCAATTTTGCGCGTTTCTGTTTGCTGGTTGTTGGGGTAAGCACACCAAAAAGCAAGATACCTATAAGAAATTAAAAAAAAATATTTTGTGTTTTTATTTTTATATATTTCTAAGCAAAGCCGTTCAAGCGAGACCATTGTCAACCCGCGCCCCACTGGGGTCTGCGTATAACGCGCCCCACTGGGGTCTGTGTATAACGCGCCCTACAGGGGGATGGGCTATTCATAGCCCCCCCCCCTTAACTCCGAAACTACTGGGCCGATCGTCAAAATTCAAACGGCATCTGATAGCCCCGGAAAAACTGTCGATCGAAACCTAATTTCATTGACCTCAAGGTCACCCATGACTAGTGGCGTAGACAGGGGGGCCATGGGGGCCATGCCCCCCCCCTTCCGCCCAGCCGCCCATATTACGCCCCAATTAGCGCCGAATAGGCTGATGCCGTTTTACAGAGGGAACATGAATTAAAAAGTGATGTGGAGACAGGGATCGAACTAAATATCCCTTTGGGGTGCCTGGATACCCCAATGTTCTCCAGGGCACCCCGAAATAGGATCTGAGTCCGCAATGTTTAAGAGCACCCCTCCGGAAACCAGAAATTCCGAACCCCCAGGGTCGATGGCGCCCCTGTAGAGCCGCTGGTACCCACCAGAACGGAGCAGTCGCCCCATTAAAGGTTGATGGCGCCCCTCTAGACCACCCGGCGCCCATCTGAGACTCACATTCGCCCCATCTAAGACAACGCCCCTTGAGACTACAGTCGCCCCACACAAGCTCAAGGCGCCCACCCAAAGTGTCCGGCGCCCTGCTAAAGGCAACAGTGGCCCCATCCATGCCCAATGGCGCCTTCAACGCTCTTCTAAACATTACAGTCGCACCATCAATCCGAGGTCGCTGGCGCCCCTCAAGAGCCACTGGCGCCCACCTGAACCGGGACTTCAGTCGGCCCATCCTAGATCAATGGCGCCCCTCTGAAACCACTGGTACCCCTCTGAAAATCCCAGTCGAACCATCCGAGATCAATGACGCCCCTCCAGAGCGTCCGACGCCCTACTGAAGGCAGCAGAGACCCCATCCAAGCATTGCACCTAGCTAGAGCACCCGGTGCTCTTCTGAAGATCACATTCGTCCTATCCGAGGTCGTTGGCGCCCTCCAGTAGTCACGGACGCCCATCCGAATGGAGACTTCAGTCGCCCCACCCCATTCAAGATCGATAGCGCCCCCCCCCCCCGAAACCACTGACGATAGGTAATTATTTGACAAAGGGGCTTTCTCATCGACACCAAGGGCCCTTTTCAAGTTGCAGCAGCCAGGGGTCGCCGAGCTGGGCTAGGATGTGCCAAGCGTTTTTATAAGGCAGCCTCGTTTGTGCCACCCCTCGTTGCGATACCACCCCTCAATGGGACGACGCCGCCCCTTCACCGTACAATGCTACCCCTCAATGCAAGTGGTGCCCCTCAGCGCAGTGCCGCACATTATTGCGATGCTGCCCCCGCCTAGCAGTGCGGTGCCACCTCCAGCGTTCGGGTTTTTTTTTAGTTGAACCTGCTGGGGGTGTTTGAACACCCACTTCTAACTCAGTTTATATTGATATTTTATATTTTATATTTACGTCAGCAGACACTACGGTGGCTATGTTACAGGGAGTTTGAGAAATCCGTGAGTTTGCAAACTCCCTAGTGAGTTTGCAAACTCCCTGACCCATCAGTGACTTTGCAAACTCACTAGGGAGTTTGCAAATTCACTAGGGAGTTTGCAAACTCACTGACCGGTCAGGGAGTTTGAGAAATTCCAGAGCGATTGGGCCAAATAAAATCAAATGTATTGCATCGAGAGTACATGAACCTCCAGGCTCGACGAATCAAACAATTAAAACAGTTACATTAAAGGCGTACCGGTACGCCTTTAATGTAACTGTTTTAATTGTTTGATTCGTCGAGCCTGGAGGTTCATGTACTCTCGATGCAATACTTGTCCATTTATTACTACAAAATCAAATGTGTAAGACTAGTGGATCTTTGCTCGCTATCGCTACGCATAGGTCTGTTATGGTTTGCGCATAAAATGATGAGGCATAAAATTTGGGATCGAATGGTGTCTGTCCCGTGTCGATCGGCTTTCTAGAAGCTGAGATATTCGCGAACAACCTGTTCAGGCTGCAAAAGTAGGTACTCGGTATTTGCTTGATACTTGGGAAAGTACTTGGTAGTTGCTTGGTACTTGCAAAAGTACTTGGTACTTGCTTAGTATTTGCCAAAGTACTCGGTACTTGCAAAAATGGTACTTGCTTGGTACTGCAAAAGTACTTGGTACTTGCTTGGTGCTCGCAAAAGCACTTGGTACTTTCAAGTGATCGATTGGCGCTTGTCCGGTGTCGATCTGACAGCTAAGAAGCTGAGATATAAGTAACAACGAAATGCTGTCAGCCGCCAGTGACGTCATATGAACTGCCGGCCACCAGTGACGTCACGGCGGTTGTCTGCCGCTTCGCCGTTTCTGTGGCCTGGCCGCTGGAGCCGGCCGCTAGGTGGCATGAGATGCTGCCGCCAGTTGGCGGCACCTGTCAAGCGTTCCGGCCGTCGGCCAGCTTGGCAAAATACTCACGTACCTACTTGAGATCTCATCTTGCTGACATGTTCAGGGAGGGGGGGGGGGGGGGTCAGAATATATCATAACATTGCATCCTTGGTATTTGTGCAAAAGTCGTGATTCACTTGAAAATATAACGGTGGTGCCGTACTCTGATCGCTGGGAGATATTGCAAATGCATCACATGAGTTGATCATGCACTGCCGGTGGCCAGGAAAAAGTTGTTCTGATGATTGCATTTGAATCACTTGAAAATATTACGGAAACTGAGAATATGCGCTGCCGGCGGCCGGCGAAATACCCAAGAAAGATGATAATTCCATCGTAAGCCGCACGGACGGCTGGTGGCCGCAAAAATGTTAATCACGCGCCGTCGACAGCATGTTACCTGGCCTGAATGTTAGCTTGCAGGCGTTCCTTTTAAATAACTTATTTAGAAGACTAATCAACTTGGACGTTTCAAGATCGTACCAATATAACGATCGTTTGCACAAAATGCTGACCGAAATAGTGAATACTGATAGTTCCATTGCGGTTCCATAGCGTGTGTCTCAACAATCTCCGTAAAATTCTAGCTCTTTTATCATTCTCACGTTTATTTGGTTTTCAATACTCATGAGCGACAAATCTGACATTTGCCATCTAGCGGCGGAGGGCAGAGTTAGTCGCAGACAGACGCCTGGGCGCGGACAGACGCGGCTCGCTGCTGAAAAACATCGACGGGCCTGCCATCTACCGGGCGCCGTCTGCGCGCTGTGATCGGCTATATTTCTTTCGGGACGCGTAAATGGCGAAAGTTTATTGGTCTCACCGGGGCTATTGAAGATGCTCTTTGTCACGGTATCATTCGTTTTTATAAAAGTGCTTTGTGTGCGCCGTATCGAAGGATAATATGGGTAGGCCGAAGGTAGAGCTTCAAATCCTACCGATAGATGGCGCAAACTACAGTTGGTAAAATCGGGACCTGTTTTTCACGAATGGCTGGTGCATGTTTGGAGCTAAGGCAAAAGCGTGCATAGCGTAGAGTGGCCAACTATATCCAGGGGTGGATTTTTATATTAAGTTGGGGTTGCACGTGCAACCCCAACTTTGAATTTTGCAACCCCAACATCGGTTTGTGCAACCCCAACTTTACAACTGAAATAAATCGGCGGGCGCCTCGAATGGTGCCGCCCCCATAACCCTGAGCCATCACAAAACTCTATGCCACCCGTTGACTTGGCACCATCTTTCAAAAGAGCCCTCCCCATCATGAAGCAATAGTCACCCCTCAACTATCTATTGTAGTTGCCGCCTCCTCAGACCTCAAATGTAGGTGCCGCTCCCTCGAATGTAGGTGCCGCCCCCTCGAATGCAAGTGCCGCCCCTCGAATGTAGGTGCCGCCCCCTCAAACGTAAGTGCCGCCCCCTCCAATGTAGGTGCCGCCCCCTCGAATGTAGGCGCCGCCCATTAAATGTAGGCGCCACCCCCTCGAATGTAGGTGCCACCCCCTCGAATGTTGGTGCCGCCCCTCAAATGTACCTAAATGCCGCCCCTCGAATGTAGGTGCCGCCCCCTCGAATGTAAGTGCCGCCCCCTCAAATGTTAGTGCCGCCCCCTCCCTCGAATGTAGATTCCGGCCCTCCTCGAATGTAAGTGCCGCCCCCTCGAATGTAGGTGCCGCCCCCTCGAATGTTGGTGCGAGAATGTGGGTGCCGCCCCCTCATATGTAAATGTCATCCCTCGAATGTAGGCGCTGTCTCCTCGAATGTAGGTGCCGCCCCCTCAAATGTTAGTGCCGCCCCCTCGAATGTAGGTGCCGGCCCTCCTCGAATGCAGGTGCCGCCCCCTCGAATGTAGGTGCTGGCCCTCCTCGAATGTAGGTGCCGCCCCCTCGAATTTAGGTGCCGCCCCCTCGAATGAAGGTGCCGCGCCGCCCCCTCAAATGTCGGCCCCGGCCA